GCAACATGTTATATATCTATTGAGAGGCGTCAATATATTTTGAGTTTTCATATGCATAATTTTTATGCATGATGAAGATAAAAATGTTGTGGTGATTGTTAATGGATGTTATATTGTGGTCTGTTCCTAATAGTCACTTAATTTCATATGATAAAAATATAATCTCATTGCACCTTTATATTGTGCAGAGGGAGATTAAGGATTCTCGTCGAAAAGCAGCAGTAACGAAAATAAAAGCTGCGGTTGGATTTCGACATGTTATCGATCTTCTTTCCACTGAAAGAAAGCTGATTGTTGGTCACAATTGCTTTCTTGGTAATATTATTACATTGGTTTTTCTTTCTAGAGTTGTTCTTCATCTTCTAAACTCTATATTTCCTTGTGACGATTTGTTGGATTGGTGCAGATATGGCTCACATATACAAAAAATTTATTGGTCCTCTTCCTTCGGCAGTCGAAGAATATGTCTTAGAGGTTCAAAAGCACTTTCCATACATAGTTGACACAAAAGTACTGCTGAATTCAGATAGCAGTTTTTTGCATCTTGTGAAGAAAGGCAGCACATCACTTTCCAAAGCATTTACCTTACTGTGTCCGCAAATTGCATCTCCCAGTATCTCAAGCATTGTTTTGGCAGATAAACCACGTATTAAAGTGGAGGTTCATGTGGATAATAAGAGGTTGGTTCCCCTTACTCGTTTTTTAAATTTTCTTCTAATGTTGCATAATTCATTTTTTTTTTTAATGCTTAATTAATCTGCTCTATGTAGCTTCTCAAGAAAATCACTTCAACTAATATTGAAAGGCATCTTATTTTATTGTTTGGTCTATATACAATGTTCGTTCAAACAGGTGGAGATAGCTCAAATCTTTGAAGGCAAATTGAATTATTAACTTTATGGATTTGCCAATTTCTGTCCCATAAATAACAATATGGCAGAAATCACAAAAGAAGAATAATCAATTGGAAGAGTGATAATAATTTAATGCCAAGAAATTTTAAGTCCAGGAGACCTAATATTTTTGTTTATCCCAAATGTCTAATTGAGAATATGCTAATATCAAATATAGCTGATCTTTCAGTATTCTAAAGTTATCAAGAAATGTTGCCATGTAGACCAAGCAATTTAATCACTGGTCCAACTTTGTGGAACATAAGCACCATCAGAACCCACTGAACTAACAAAAAATTTAATATTAGCAGAAATTAATGCATCAGTCATCGATAATTGAGCACAAGAACTGTCTCTTGTAACTGTAATTACTCCTCATTGTGTTATGTATTCTTTCGTCTNTGCATCAGTCATCGATAATTGAGCACAAGAACTGTCTCTTGTAACTGTAATTACTCCTCATTGTGTTATGTATTCTTTCGTCTAACGGCTTATAATTTTCCATGCCATAGTTGCATGTACATATAGCCTTTAGCCTATGTAATTAGATTGGGAAAATGGCTTAGGAAGAAAACCTAGTTTGAGGATAGCTATTGAAGAGACATTACAAATTTGTCATATTGGAACAGGGACTGAAAATTTGTGTCATATTTGCAGATTCTCAAATTGGAACTCTGGAGCCAAGCATGAAGCTGGATATGATGCTTTTATGACAGGATGTGTTTTTGCTCAGGCATGCACTGATCTAGGAATTGATTTCAGTCGTCATGAACCAGATGTCAATTTAGTAGACAATGAGAAGCTCCAGAAGTATATCAATCATCTGTACCTTAGCTGGATAAATGGAGACATTATTGATCTACGAACGGGGAAGTTTCCTGCGGACTCTTTAAGTTCTACTAATCTTAAGCAACGGTATCCAAAGATTTTGTTTTCGAATATAGTTATATTGTGGGATCTACCGTCAAAGCTAAGGGCAAGAGAAATAAAAGAATGTATGTCGAAAGTTTTTGGCGTTGATTCTGTGACCTCAGTTTTCCACTTGGATGAGACTGCAGCCTTTGTTCAGTTAAGCAAACAAGAATTTGTCTCTCGTTTACTTGAATTGAAGGACACCTTAGAACAAAAGTATGATCCGATTTCAGTTTTGCATCCCCTAGCTAAGATCTTGGAAGGAGGACGTACTCGTGCTGCCAGTTATGAAATATATAAAGAGATTTGCAGTTCCCCCATATCTGAGTTTCTATTTTCTGATCAGGCTGAGGCGGTGGGAATTGAATGGAGAACCAGACTGCTAGAACCCATTGTAGAAGTTGCAAATCAGGGAGACAAGATTTCTAGTTTTTCTCAAGACAGAAGAGAGACATGCCCTAGAAATAATGCGACGGGTCCTCCATCAAGATGCCATTTTCCATCTGAAGAACTCGTAGATTCCTTTTATCCAGTTCAAGCTCAGCTGAGCAAATAGTGTAGATTTTTATTTTTTGTTTCAAACTTATACAGTAATTTAATTCCTTGTTGAAATTATGTTTGGCTAGCATAAAGGATCCTGGATCTGTTCTTTATATCAACGGGGACTTGTAAATGAACTGAAACTAGAAAGATGTCTTTTTGTTTCTCAATATTGGAAAATGAAAATTTTGCCATTTATGACACAGGATCTTAAGATTCATATTTCAAACGTTGGTCAGGTCTTGAGTTTGCCCCCCAATGGTCATTAGTTCGAGTTCCTCAAGGCCATCGAGATGAATACTCTACTGTAAATTTTAGAGCACCGTGGGATTAGTGAAGGTGCGCGTAAGTTGGTATGGACACCCATGGTCATATAAAAAAAAAAAAAAAATAATAATAATAATAAAAAAAAAATATATATATATATACAGCTTTCCATTGGATTTAGTCCTTGTTTGAGTCCCATTTTTAGAGGAAAAATGAATTTTTGAATAGTGCATCGATGGAAAATGTGTGGTTAAAAAATAAGGAAATATTTTTAATTTGCGTGTAATATTATTTTATTGAAAAATGTGGGATTGAAATGATGTTAAAATACTGTAGAAAAATTCATTTTTTTCCAAATAATGAGGATCAAACAAGGGCTTAATATGTCACAGCAATCAATAATCAACAATTATGTTACTGAAAAGTATGAAACTAAAGAAACTAAAGTAAATTTACCAGCTAATGAAACCTAAATGACAATATCTTTTACATGAACATATAAAGGACAACAAACAGGCCTACTACAACAGTCATGAAATAAGAGACAGAAAAGAGCTTGGACGTAGCATTAAACCGTGGAGGTTCCCAGTTGTCCGAATCCCAACCACCACCAGCTCCTCCCGGGGATGGCCCTGGGCCAGGTGACTCCACTTCAGAGGGATGCATCACACGAATAATAATCTTTTGGCCAGCTTTGCAGTTGTCAGGCTGCCCACTGATGAAATAGAAGAACCCTGAACGATCAAATTGGAAAACCGTGTCTCCATCTTCAAATTTGGAGATAGGGTTTGATGTGTTGCAGTTTAAGTAATCAGCAGAGGTCACTTCCAGCACCGAGTCATTTTGGTACTTGAAATCTGAAGCAAAAGAATATCATCAAACCAAAATGCAAAGAAAAAAACTGGTTGTACATATTCATAGAATGCACTTACAAACTGTATCTCCAATACGGAATCTGTTTTTAGCAGCCCATTGATTGTACGTCTGAGGATCCTTTCCAGTTGGTTTAGTCCACCCTCTTTCATCACGAACTTCGAACCGGTACGAATTCACCAAGACTGCAGCGAAAAGGGCTGAGAGAAAAACCATTTTGAAGGTGATTGCAGCAAAAGCCATTAGAGATTTCATTAACAGAAGGAATATGAAGATTTCTGTGTTGAGCAGAAGTGTGAGTAAAAGATGGTGTTGGGAGTTCTTATAGTTATAGGGAAAAGGAAGCCATGGCAGTTAATTTTGAGGTATATGGAGAGAAAGAGTGGGAAGTGGGATCAGTTAAGCATTACGTGATTTTGTTCCTTTTTCAAATGTTAGAAACAGTCAGACTTCGGGTTTAAAGGGCAAATTCCCTCTTAAGGATTCCAACTTTTACTATATTATAATCACACTCTTAAGCTCAGTATGTTACTATTGAAAATGTCGGAATAAAAATAATAACTTTTCAGTATAATAAAAAGTTACTCAAAATTTTATTTCTCTTATTAAATTAAAGACAAACATTTATTCCAACCACACGTAAATTATTCATTTATTAATAACGTATTTCGTGGGATCTAATACCATTCTTCATAAAAAGTTGTAAATAATTTTATCCTAACACTCTGAAACTTAACTATTTTAAGATTAGACATATTGGTGATAGGTGGCATAGACATAAACCTAATAAAAAAAAGAATATATTGTATTGTTAGTGATATTAAACTTAACCTTAAATATACGAATTTCTAAAATTAATTTAGTACTAAGTTAAAGCAGTCGATGTCACACGATATACTTCTTGAAATTTTCGTTGTTGTTTCTTTCTTGTGACATGTATAGCGCGAAAATTGTAACATGATACAAACAATTTATATAATATATTTGATGGTGGCAAAGTAAAACTTCATCATTCATCATCTAGATGTGCTCAAAACTTGTGAGCTTGTGCGAAAGATATTTAATGTACTTTCTACTTTTTGTAGCTGAAATTAGTTGTGTTGATAACATACTATAATTACATGGTTTCTTACCTTTAAGAAGAAATTCCATTTACAAATGCATAAACAAAGCATTAGTTTATTAATAATTTTGCTTTCAACAAACAAAAATAAGTGATGCTATACATATAATTATCTAAGTAACTATTTCATTACCAGACTTAATTTTGATACACCATTGTAGTTCAAAATCCCTTTTTTATTTTTGTTTCAAGTCTTTGTTTCCTCTTCATTGATGAGACTCTGACATCAGTTTAATTGACTGACTGTTCATAGATTACAGTAATTCAGTCTGTAGTTTGTAGCTTTTCCAAGCGTTAAAAAGTCTCCATAATGGCCAGTCTCCATAAATTGGGTCTCCTACTCCACTACTGTTTCATTGCAACACCATTTTTCCATACACATGCACACATTTACAAAGGCAAGTTCTTTTCTTCATATTGTTCTTAATTATTTTGCAGGTGCAATTATGGAGAAAATTTTAAGTGCTGGTAAAATAGGGAAATTTGTTGACAGAAGAGAGAGAGCACAACCCGGCATCAGCAAAGGGTCTTTGTTTCTGGTGGGAGTGTGCTCTTTCTTCTTCTGTCAGCGACGCTGCCCTTTTAATGGCTACAGGCGGCATTAACCACAGATTCAGATCACTCTCTGCGTTCTCTTCTGGTTTTTTCTCAGATTTGTTCGTTTGTTTTGCTGTTGAAATGCATTCTCTCGGATGAAACAACGTGTACATACAAACAAATACTTCGATTACTCTACGAAATATGGTTGAAAATTGTCTTATAAGTGTGTTACATTAGTTACTGTTTATTTCCAATTTTTTTGCCTCATTTTAATGGCTTTTAGGACTCTTGCAAAGGTAGCAGCCTACCTTTTTTTTTTTTTTGGACTTTCTATCTCACAATGGGACCTATCTGGCATCTGCTAGAAAAAAGGGGTCAAAAAAATCATTTTTGCATTCAATAATGGAAACAAGACAGGAGCTAAGTTTTTTATACTTGATCTCAGAATCTGATAAGATCAAGATGTCAATATCTTACATTGCCTCCACATAGCTGAAGGCCGTTGTTACCCCAAAAAAAAATAATAATAAAATAAAAAAATAAAATAAAATAAAAAAGGACCGGCGATCGTTTTGGACTCCAACACTCAAGTCTCTTGCAGGAATGATAAATATATAAAATGATCGACTGCAGGGAAGGAGTGAAAAAGAATTTGGTTAAGGGTTAGAATTCTTAACTCAATTGACTTGAATATAATCACAGGAATATGAGATATGTAAGTCAAGATAGGCTTTTAATCATATCATCCCGGCACACTATAAAATCCAAACTAGGCTCAAGTCCATAAGAAGATTGCCTATGACCTAGTTGTCATGATTTTGTCCAGCCGAATTAAATTGTCATCACCAATGTCTAGTAAAGAAATTGGATAGCAAAAGCCCAGCTAAATAATGTGGGCTCCATCTTGTTACATGTGTACCCCTTACAATATAAGAGTAAAAATTTAGATTGTTGTTCCCGAGACATAACTCAGTGGTGCAAAGAATAATAATGAGGTAATCTTAACCTTGTTGACAGTCGCAGTGTGAGGGTTAAATTCTTGAGATATAAAATTAGACTCTTTGTGGGCACCAGTGTACATGCAAGCTCTTATTCCTTGACCTGTTGGGGTACATTCTACGATTTATCTCCCTCACAATGCTCCGGGGGCGGGACGGTAGGGGCCCTCAAAATTGGGGTTCAACCTTTTTTTAAAAATTTAGATTGCTTTATAAAGTTGTTTCAATTCATTCACTTTTCACGTATTTGTTAACATATTTATCGATTTTGTTGAAGTTGCGATGACATAGCTTATGTGACTAACGATATTGGTAAAACAACATTAATAAGCTAAACGACGACACTCCTATGCTTGATTTTTCCACCACTTTTCTGATATTAGTTTATTTGATTTTTAACTCATTGCATGTAAGATTGCATAACAAAAGGTTGAGATTAATCTTTCCTCATATAATGGATAGGCATAAAGAATGCAAGTTCTACTTTTAGATAATAAAAAGCTCTCATGCAAGACATACTAGTGATACATATATTGTTTCATTACTAAATTAAAAACTCTCATGTAAGATAGTGAATCGTACAAGTGTCCCTTACTAAAGTGTGAAGAATATGAGTCAAATCTAAGGATCATATTTCTTTTCAAACTTTAAAATCGATATCATTATTGGCTTTGATTTATTCATAATTTTGTTTTCTACAAACACGAATAACTTGACAATTATCTAGGTAACTATTTTACTAGATGCAAAACTAATTGTTTGAATACTCAGTAAATAATGATATGCATGATTCCTGTCATTTTTTCATTATATCTCATTTTAAAAATTCATGCATCTCATCAATGTCGTAGCTTGTTTATCTTTTATTTTTTGAACCCAAAATCT